ATGCAGAAGTTTTTCAACCAAACACAATCTAAATCTCATATCATATATCAACCAAATACAATCTAAACAACCTAATGGACATGACCATCACAACATCAAAACCATCACAAAATTAGTTCACCTTCAGCTAATGGACATGACATGACCATTTCTACCAAACACAATCACAATAAGAACCAAAACAACAACAATCAGACAAATCATTTTCCTTTCAAGGTTTTTTACTTGAGATAAGTTCTTCTCAAGAACCAAAATGACTTCAGCATTCTTGTGACCTTCTACCTCAAGCACATTCACTTTATTTTCAAGATCCTCAAGCCAAGTCGAGCTTACTTCTTTCACACCCGACCTGCCATTGTGCTGTTTTTCCATGGCCACCTTGTCCCGTAACTTTTCTTCTAAAGCCTCTTTTTGAGACTTCAATTTGATGAAACATTTCTTTTGGAAATCAGGCATTGAGGGATCAATCTATTCAAAGAAACGACAATCTTTTTCCTGCTTATAAATAAATAAAAAAAAACCTTCATATAAAATATATCTTTTGGGTAAACAAAATGCATAAAAATTACAGAACAAAATACGATAATAAATTACTTTTGAGTAAGGACACTTGTAGAACCTCCGACATGGATTGTCGTTAGTCATTGAGGTCAAAACAATGGCCTCTTCCAAATGGCGGCACTGCTTCTGCACTGGGATATTGGATGAAGCGCTATGTTGCGAATTTTGGCTTGTACGAGACGAGTTCGACATTTTCAGGGGAAGAAGCTACGAAATTAGGGCAAAAATTTGGGGAAGAACACGATCGACAATTGTCAGAGGATGAAGCTGCGAAATTAGGGCAAAATATGAGGAAGAACACGATTGACAATTTTGGGGATAAAGCTGCGAATGAATAAGATCGAAAATTAGGGTTCAATGGATGTTGATACTTGTACGACTAAACTTTGTGAGAGAGGTCGATCTAGGATAGTTTGAAATTTGGGGATGGATCTGTGAAATTTGGAGAAGAGGACGATTTTGAAATTAGGGCATGAGTGGTTTTCTTGATTTTGGGGAAAAATGAGCGTTTTTATGCAGTATTTACCACATCACACCACGTTGGCAACGTAGGTAGAGGTAAACGGACACGTTGGCAAAAATTAGACGGCCGTTTGAATTTGGGTTCGGTTTGCAAACTTGTCCAAGGTCATGTTATTCATGCTAAATCCCAAAAATTTGGTTAAAACGGCAAAAAGTTGGAAGGTCGTGCGAAATCAAGTTTTTCATCTTGTAACATGACATACTCATCTTATAGTTTGACATGTTCATTTTACACTGAAACATATTCATCTTGTTAAGATTAATATTTCGTGCGAAATCAACTTAATTCATCTTGTAACATAACATATTCATCTTATAGTTTGACATGTTCATTTTACAATGACACATATTCATCTTCTTAATATTAATATTTCGTGCGAAATCAACTTATTCATCTTATAATATTCATAAACAAAACACTGGCAATCGACACAATTAGTCCAAATAAGCAGAAACATGATAAACAAAAACAGAAACTTTTTTCTAAAGTGACTTGTCATCTGCGTAGTCCCACGGCAGCAACGGCTTACTCAACG